GGATATTATGTCTTAACTGTGTCAAATGTTTCTTTTGGGGCTATGTTGTTTTCCAACATAGCCCCAAAATTTTAAGTTTATATTTTCATTTTTTATCATAACTCTCTAGAGCATAAAGTGCAAGGAGTAAATTGAAAGCTGTGTTACAGGCCGTGCTTACAATTAAACCATTGTTTATTCAATTAACTCAATACTCAACATCTACAAGACCCCTTAAGTCATAAATGACCAAGAGGGCTGAGTTTTTATATAGACTAAGATAAAATATGTCTGGCTATTTTGCGGTTCAGGGTGTCATGTGAATGTAGGCACAGGTCTGAACAATATCAAGAATCCAAGTTTTTTATCTGCTTCCTGGGAAGAATCTCCTGACTCCGGTTGCGTGCTTTCACCTCCACTGTGCCAGGGGCTCCCGCGGAGAGAACGAGAGTTTGCAGCAAGGTGACACTGCAGGCCCTCCCTTCTCACAGTCATGTTGGCTTGTCACATTGGAGCTTGTCACAGACCACGTTGCAGGAAGTTGTTACTGTGACTCAGGTCTGTTGACCTCTCCATTTTTTCTGACCAAGCCAATGACTCTTCTTTTTAATCCTCTGATTGATAAGCAAAAATGGTGAGGAAGCCATTTATTATTCTTTTCAACCCAAGAGAATGATGGGAAAAAATTACACAACGGGACTCAGGACTCTCCCCATCAGCAGAATTGCTGTCAAAAAGCTGAACAGAATGGGAGCAATTTTTCTCTGTTTAAATTGTCCCCCCCCCCCAAAAAAACCCAAGGAGTTTGAAAACGTGCTTGTTGAGGAGGCTGAAGATCCCCACTGGAGAAGCCGTGGGACTCTCCTGTTCTAAGCCTCCTTCCTCCGTGCCATTTTGTGCTCAGCATGCACCACACACAAAAACACAAGCACAATGCCGAGAGAGAAATGCACACGTGCACACAGAGAGGCATTGTGTAAGCCTCTACCGCAGCTTCACAGAAAATGCACCTGCACATACCCTGATGGTGGACTTGGGGGAAAAGCCCACCTGCAGACAGACGCAACCTCTTATTCTACAATACAGAAGAAAATGTAGGATGCCTCCCGTGCCCACGAATGGGGGGGGGGGGGAAGTCCGGAGACCACGCTTTGCACGCCTCCCCGTCTCCCCATCTTCTTTCGGAGGGCGATTGCTTGCTGACGATCTCTCTGCTCTTTGTCCCCTATCCTGAAGGCAGCTGGAACTGGGTTTTTTTCCCCACTTGGCTAATGGATTGTCAGTTAAAATATCACCATTTTTGCCCACATTGGCCAGAACTGCAGGGGGATCAATAAAAAGAGCAAAACTGGCACAAATTCAGCCAGCACTGAGGAACTGCATTGAACAGCAACAGGTTCATTAGAATTATAAATAAAACTTCCTGGATGAGAGTTCATTTAACTGAATGCCAGGCCTAGAACACGGCTGGACCTAAAATCAGGAATGAATAAGACCCTGGAAGAGAACATCTGTAATTCCCAGTGGAGTCCGTGGGGCCCTCCGACTTTGGTTCTTTGCTTGCAGACGTTTCACGACCCAACTAGGTAACGTCACCAGTGCGCTTTGGGTCTGTGCGCCTGAGCGCAAGGAGCGTCCTTGGGGCCTTGGCCCGTTCTACGTCCTCTGCTTCATTTTTTGGCCTTTTCTTAAGTTAGGTAGTCATTTCCTTTGGTTCTTCTCCATTGTTTCATCTCATCATTTTTATAGTCTTCTGTTTCTTCTACCTTTATCCCTTTATTTCTTTGTCATGGGATTCCGTGAGAGCCCCGAGGGTGAGGCTGGAGCCGTCTTACAGCCCAGGGTCTTTCCATTTCTCTCTCTCTCGAGTCCTCCCCTCTGCTCTTCTGTGACCCCCGCTTTCTCCAGCCGCCCTCTCCCCACGCGGCGCCATTTCCCTTCTCCTGGTGACACTTAAGCAGCTTCTACATCAGGACTGAAGTAATATCAGGGCTATAATAAACGGAGTCCATTGACCTTCTGATACCTGCAATCCCCCCCCCCCCAAAACTGTTTCCTTTAGCAACTTAGCGATTGCTTTGCTTAATGACCTAGTTGCCATCCTTTGGTTGCTGAGCAAGGACTATCGGCGTTATAAAGTACTGCGCTGGTGTCAACCATTCCCCAAATGCCTAGATGATCAACTTTTCGTTTAATTCATTACAATTAATTACAAGAAATCCACTCTATAATTATATTATTTTTTTGGATTTTGTCTTATTCTGATTCTCTCTCTCTTGAAGTAACTACCAGCCTCTTGATCTATTATTGTAAATTCTTCCTCCTTCCGCTTTCCGCTCAGGTGAGCTCTTCTGCCCCGCTCCAGGCCCGGAGGCCACCCGGGGGGGGGGACCGTCCTCGTTCGAGGGCAGGGAAAGAGCCTGGCTCAGGCATGGCCCCCTCCTCAGGGGGAAGGGACGGAAAGGAGGGTTAGAGTTCTTCTGGGGGGGTGCTCCCCCCTCCTCCCACCCCGGTTCTCCTCCCGTCAAAGGGGCGGGCGGGGGTGCCGGAGGGCCGCTCATTCATCACCCGCAGGGACGACCCCCACCCCGGGGTCAAGCGCGGCGCCTCGGACGGGATCGGGCTCCGCGTTTTTCCGCCTCCGGGCGGGGGAGAGGCCTCCGCGGGCTGCTGGTCCCGGGACCTTCCGAGACCGGCTCTCTCTCCGGCAGCCGCCCCGTCCTGGCTTCCCTCGCCTGGACCGCCCACCGCCTCGGCTCCCCCCCCCCCCAGCTTGGAGGACTCAGAGGGACCTTGGAGGTCGTCTAGTCCGGTCCCCGAGCTTTCCAACCCTCCCCCAGAAGGCAGGGGCCAGTTAAGCCGGAGCCCCCCGCGGCCAGAACGGCCCCCGCCCCTCCTCCCCCCAGGGAGGCAGAAAGTGGGGGGCGCCCCTTCCCCCGACGCCTCCGCCGACCCCCCCTCCCCTTTCCAAGCGGCGCAGGGCCAGTTTCGGCGGCGGAGAGAAGCGCGGGGGCTTCACTTACCCAGTTCATCCGAAGGGGAGCCCCCCCCCGCCCACATGGCCCCCTGGCGGGAGGGGAGGGGAGAGGCTGCTCCTGGGCAAGAGCCGCGGGGTCCTCGGGTGCCGCCTGTCCTGCGTGGCGCGTCGGCCTCGTCCCCTTCCCCGCCTCGTCCCGAGCCCGCAGCCCCTTCCCCGCCTTTCTGCTCCGTCGCGATCCGGCCGCTCTCGGCCTTCCTCCCCTCCCCTCCCCTCCCCGCCGCCGCTTTTCCCGCCCCTCCCACTCCAAAAGGCTCTTTCGTCCCCCCCCCCCAGTCCTTGGGTGCCTCTGGCTGGGTGGGGGGGCGCCCCTCCCTCCCTCTGCCCAGGCCGGCCTTTCTCAGCCTTGGTAACTTTGGGATACGCGGAGCTCCATTCCCAGAAGTGCCGGCTGGGGAATGCTGGGAATGGAAGTCCCCGCATCTTAAAAGTTGCGGAGGATGAGGAGCCTTGGCCGCACCGGGAGAAAGGGAAGCCCGCCAGCGACGGTGGGGACGCGCTTTGCGATCTACACGCAGGTCAGGAAGGCAGATCGGCTGCTGTCCAACAGATCTGCAGGAAAGGGTCCCTTTTCTTCATCGCCCCCCCCCCTTCTGCCCCCTCTGGCTTTCCAGCCAACCACTCCTCCTTTCCACACTCTCGGGGGGGGGGAAGAGACTTTTGTTGCTCTAGGGTGGGATGCTTAAATGCAAGTCACACCAGCTAAAACAGTTTGACAGTTGCGTGACCCGGCTGTAACTTGACCCTTTGTCAATGAAGACCCATTACGGGAGGGAGGGAGGGAGGGAGGGAGGGAGAGCCATTGCTGCAGCCTCTGAATCGGGAGTCTGACTCAGTTAAGTTTAAAAGGAAATGAAATCCAAGTAAATGTTGGATATCTTGAAACTTCCATCGCCTGGAGGTGGCCACGCAAAAGGAACTTGATGGACGGAGGGAGGGAGGGAGGGAAATATGAATAGGGCTTGAGGAGGGAAACGGGGGGGGGGGGCAGAGCTGTGCCATGGCAGGGCAAGGGTGCCATCCTTGCTTCTAAAGGACAGCAGAACTGCCACCACCTTCCCTCCCTCCGTGTGCGCTTTGCCCTGCTCTCCGCTGCATGGAAGCCTTCCTTATTCCAGTTAAAATGGGGAGTTTCTTTTCGAGACAGTAAGGGACACCGTTCGTTTTTACTCGGGGACCTTGACAACTGGGCCATGGTTGGTGTCTTTATCCTGCAAGCCTCCAGAAAACCATTTTTTGCTCAAAATTGCCCAAAATATGAAGTGACCCTACTACCAGCTACATGGAGAAAAAGGAAATTGATGCTTGTAAACTGCTGCTGTATTGTGCGCCATACCACTGCAAAGCGGCCTGCGTCTGCCGCTAGTCTCGTTTCCCCTGACCAGAGAAAGTGGCTGGCCATGAGCTGGGATGTTGGCCATCAGGCCCACTGAGGAGAATTTGCTTGTGGGACATTATTACGTTGCATGTAATAAGTTAGGCAAAGCAGGCCGAGCAGGACCCCGGGGAATCCTTTCAATCTCTTTAAACTTGCTCTGCTCAGGTCAGGTGACTGGGAAGAAAGAGGGAGGGGTGGAAAGAGCAGGCAAGGTGCTGAGCCACTGCCAAGGGGTCTCCCCCCCCACAGGGGATGCACGGGGGTTAGGGTGGTTTTCTTCCTCCAAAACCCCCAGCCCTGAGTAAGGAGGCAGGGAGCAAATAGTCCCCAGTTCCTCAAGGGAAATTTCTCTCATCATTAAGGATTTATTTTCATTCTGCCAGGTGAGAGTCAACAATCGAAATGCAGCAGACAAAAGGCAGTGTGACATTCAGAAATTACAAATTGATCTGTTTTAAAAGTATTAAATTTTCTGGCGGGACGAGAATAGAGATTCCGCTGTGTACAGTCTGATGGGGTGGATCTCCACCCGCAAACCCCCCCCCCCCGTTCTGTTTTGGGCCACTCCTAAGTCAGAGCTCTCTGGTTTGTTTCCAGGCTATTTACCTGAAAGGAGCTACAGCGGCCAGAGGTTAAGGGTCAAGTGGAGTGGAGATTTATTTTTACCCAGCCCCAACCCCAGCCAAGGTGTCTGTCGGATGCAGCCCCCACCTCCAAACGGGGAGAGCTGTGCCCACAGTGGATGTAGGTTGTCGCTGAGAGATACGCGGATCCCTGTCCCGGCCGTGTCATCGCCAGCAGCCTTGCCGAGGTGCTGCAGGACTGACCTTCCACTCTGTGTTGAGGGTGTATCAGGTGTTAAGAAAAATAATTATAACACACAAAGCATAACTTCCATCAACCACTCTTCATGTGTTCACCAAGTGAAGGTACCCAAAATGGCTAAGCATGAAGTTTTCAAGTCTCCTGTTTTGATTAGCAAGATTCAGCTAGATTCATGTCATATTCAGCTAGTCAGCACTTCCCATTTTTATTCAAAAATGTGTTAGAAAAGCAAAAATGTCATAGTGATTACACTGGGTGTGGAAGAACCAGGTGCAAACTGCTTCACTTTTTGATCTCAAACAGGTGGTTCCAAAGAAACCTCCATACCTGAAGGATGTGAAAGGCAAACATTTCAAATGCGTGCACAAATATAGTTAACGTAAGAATTGGAGCACAGAAGACATTGTAGATTTATGCATTCAGGAGCAGAGACGAGACTTCCCTGCCCTTGGTGAGATTCCACCCATCCCTGGACAGATTTAAGGGTTTCTGATGTTTTACTACATGCCCTGCTATCCAGCAGTTTCATTGCCTGAATTGGAGGAACTGGAGATGGAGTTCAGGGTCACTATTCCGGAACCATGAACTAAGATGCTTTGTAGTTCTGGTCCGGACAGCATAAACTCAATGAGAACGATTTTAAAATAATATTTATTGTCCAGGAATTCTTAGCAGAAACTTACTGTGCAGAAGATAGGCCTGGTCATTAGGATAGTGTTCATTCCCATAGGTAAAGGGATAATGGATTCCTCCATCCTGCGTAAAAGTTACATGCTGGCACGGAGCTTCTAGCCTTGCCGCCAGAAATCCATGCAGAGAGATGATACAATGGCACAAAGCCAGGAAGTCCTGCAATAATTTTAAACTCCTCCCACTTAACTATATAAGCTATAGTATTAACTAACAACTGAAATTACATTACCCATAAGCCATCTCTTAAGGAAACAGCGTTTAACCCTTTAAATGCTACATGTTCTTACATACAGTTCTCTCAATGATACAACATTAACCCTGTAAATGCCAAATACTCTAACACAGTTCTTAAGCTAACTGACTGGTCCAGCACAGTCACACTGGGTCCAGTCTCCCCTGGAGCTGCTACGGCAGTCACGGCAACTGTGACTTCCGGCTATTATTATCTGCACCTGGTCTTTTACCTGGGAAACCTCTGTTGAGGGATCAGAACTGATTCTCTGTCATGGATGGATCACCATCTGGTTAGGTTAGAAAGGTTGACTCAACCCTAACCTTTTCCCACAGGGGCCCTGGCTTGGTTTTGGGATTGGGTCTTTTGGAACCGGTGGAGTTTCAGAATTTTCTAGTGGGTCGGTTTCTATTGTGCCAAACACCCCTTTGAGGCTTTGTGGCCAGGCTGGGATGTCCAGTTTCCCCGTGCTCCCACCCTCCTTTGCTGCAGGGTAAGCTCTGTCACCTTGTCAAGCTCACAGGTCACTGGTTTACTGAGCAAGTTCAGGCACTAAAACTGGCTGGCAGATTCCTGAAGTGCTGGAGGCAAAAGTCTAAGGTGGACGTGGCTGAGCCCTCCGGTGGAAAGTCTACACTGGGGAACAGAGAGCAGAAAAAAAGGGGGGGAGGAAGTGGGAGCTGGTCTTCGTCCCTGTTACATCTGCTGAAAATTACTCTTGGGAAGTATTCCGAGTGGTTGGGGCTTGAATGTTCCATGAACCTCGAGTGGACAAGATGCTTAAGTAGTCAAAAAGATGCTGAGACCCTGGAAAAAGTGCAGAGAAGAGCCAAAAGGTGATCAAGACTGAGCTGTGCGATGCCCGGTTAAGGGAACCCTGTGTGTCTGGCCTACCGAAGGGAAGAATTCGGAGGGACATGATAGCAGCTTTCCAATACCTGAAGGGCTGTCAGAGAGAAAGGGGGGGGGGGTCCACCTCTTCTCCAAAGCCCCTGAGGGCAGGACAAGAAGCAGAGAGCCTACCTGGTCCTAAACAGAAATTTCCTGGCAGAGACAACAATTAAGATTTGGCACACGATTCTCCAAGAATAAATCTTAATGGAGATACATTTTCAAATCAACTGTATGATATTTTCAGTACCTGTTTACTGTGAGTGTACCTAGAAAGAAAACTTCAGTTCAACTCAGAGATGACGAGAAGAACTTGACAATTTTGAGAAGGACATTTCTGTTCCCAAAGCAAGATTACAATGTCTTTATTGAGGCTGTTTACCAATATTGTATTGATTTATTTGTTAGATTTATATTGTGCCTGTCCTTCAGGACCTCAATATTTCCCCACAACAACCTCCCCATTGGACTGTCAGTCCCATTGGACTGACAGAGAACGTGATTGTGACAATTGCTCCGGAGAGCATCTCTGCTTCTTTTTCTCCAGGGCTGTGAATGAAAGGATCTGGCTTTTATGTATCCTCCTGTGTATTCTTAACTACAAGCCCTCCTAAGCTTTAAAGTGGTTGGCCGTCACACAAGGTGTCTTGTTACATGCAGCACAGAAACAAGATCCATCCAGGACCCTCTTCCACAGCCCTGGGGCAAATCAGTTTGTGAAGGATGGTCTCAACTTGATCACCCAGGCCCCAAATTCTAAATTCAACCAAGATGCTCTCTTATTTCTATTCCAGTCATTTGCCTCCAACTTCCACATGTACAAGAGGCAAAGAAGGTTGACGCACCCATATTTATTTTCAGTAAGATTTTTTTTTCTTAGATCGATATTTTGGATGTGCAGAAGCCTGGGAAGAGCTGGACTGCTTTAGTGAATTTAGGGGAAAGTTCTGTGGTCTACAGCAGAATCCGAATTAATAAGGTCTCTTCACACAGCAGCCATTGCTAGTAATTATTCCTGCACCAACTGCATGCATGCATGCACGGACTCTGATCAAGAAAAGTGACTTGGGGATGAGTCCCGCACAGGCAAGTATCTCAGAAGCATCGGAAACAAAAATGTGGGATTACGATGGGCCAAGAAGTTACACCACAACTTTCACCTCGCTGTTCGTACAGTCATAGGAGTTTCTTTCATGGTTTTTGTAGAAGCAGAGTTCACTGCAATCAACCAGGAACTGTAATAAACTTCAGTAAGAGATCCAGAAGGAAGGCGAAGTGGAGGAAGGCTGTCTGGCTGGAAAGCCCTTGGCCAGGAAAAGGAGGCTGCATAATGAAGGGTGGAGCTTGGATACCATGACCCTTCACCTTTGTTACCTAGAGATGGACATCTATAAATCCCCCAACATTTAGTAGCTACAAAGGGAGATGCCTCCAGGTGTCCTGTGAAACCACCATCCTGAATGTTGTCCTCTCGTGGTGGAACAGACACACAGCCTGCGGAAGCCCATTCAGTTTTCCCAGGGGACGCACAGTCAGATTTGCCTAACCCAACCCAGTACTGCCTAGGACGGTCCCCATATCTGAGCTGTCCACCCGCCCACACTCTGTTTCCCAAAATGAAAGAGCTCTGCAATCTGCTCAGCAGCCCCTGGGGGATCGTTTGTGCAGTAGATGCGGTTGGTATTGAGAGTCTACGCTGTGCTTCTGAACTGGCCTATGCTGGTCTATGGCCATGACTTGAGATTGCTATGGTGGGGGGGGGCTCCTGTTTGGAACATGGGACAACCCTGGGCACAAAGCCTAGTTTGCAGGGGGATCTCTTGCATGCACAATGAGTCTTCTGAACGTCTCACTCCTGATGTCGCTGTGGCTTCCTTTTACTAGTTTGGAAACTAAAAATCTTCTAAAACAGTGGTTCTCAACCTTTTTAATGCCGTGACCCCAACCGGTCGTAAGTCGAGGACTTTCCCTGCCCGGGAGCGCCGCACATGCATGGTTCCACCCCCTGCGCCGGCCGAGGTGTAGCTGGCAAGCGGCAGAGATGGAGCAGGCCGACCACCAGCTGGCCCAGCTCAAGGGAGGTAAGGCACCCGCCGGAAAAGGGGAAAAAAATGGCGGACAAAAAAAATGGCGGACAGCCTTGCTTGGCGACCCCCATGAAATGGTCGATCGACCCCAAATGGGGTCCCGACCCACAGGTTGAGAACCACTGTTCTAAAAGTACAGAACAACTCTTCTGAGTCCCTGGTTTCTTTTCTGTTATTTCTCTTCCTCCTTCCTTCTTCCCTCCCTCTTCTTCCTCCTCTTTTAAAAAAAGAATAAATTAATTACGGGGAGATTCATAAAACTCCCAGGAGAGGCAATTGCCGTGCAGGTCGTCTCCAGTCTCTTGTCCCTCTGGGCTTAGTTCTCAATTGAGCAATGTGTAGCTCCAACACTGCACATCCACACATTACTTTAGTGGCACTTTCCCAACCTTTGCCAGGGCCAGAGCTTCTGAGAGGAGAGCACTGCTGGGTAGAAAGCTCTGGCTTTGGCAACTACGTGTAGAGGCTGAGGAACCGATCCAGGCCAGAGCAAGAGACATGGCTGCGTCTTCTGAGGCTTCCTGTGGTGGCCATGTTGCTTTGGAAAACAGCTTTGGGGAGTTGATGGGACTTTTATGTGAAACTGGCATCCTTTGAGGAGCTGTGTCTTTAAAAAAAGAAGCTCAGACACATTGACAACTCAAGAAAACAGAATTGTTGCTGGCAATCAAAGCAGGATGAGAACAATAATGAACATATGTTTAATAATGAGACTTATTTCCTACAACTTCATTTATTTCTTTTCTTTGTTTATTCATTTGCAGATGAAATAACCTACAAAACATAATGAAATATGTAGCTTGGAAAGGCTTTCCAAAAAAATAATTTCCACTCATCCTGACTGCTGAGCATCAAAGGGGCAATCAGAATATGAGAAGATCAAAACTTCTGCAGTGTCTGTTAACGCAACAGGTAAGAACAACCTGGGCACAAACATAACATTGCCTAAGGCTTACTTCATTAAAATCAAAAGATGTTAACAAATGATGCTGTAGCCTAAAAAGTCACATGAATTTCCTCAACTTCAAATGTATCTGGAAGTTGTCCGTAAAGAAAGGCTGAACCTAAAACAAATGCTCAGTGGTCGTACTGAAAGTGTGGGAAATTAAAGCATCTTTTCCAACCGGTCAATCGTTTAAGAAGTAGGAATCCTGGAGGATACACCTTCCAAAAAGGAAATTGCATTTAATTTACATTTGAGGATGTGAATTGATTTATAAGGCAAAGGAATAAAACTAGGAGGAGCGTATCAGACTTGAAGCGGAATTCATCTTCAAGGCCAAAGACCGGGCATCACACGTGTCGCCACGACTCCTTCAAGCACGGCCCCAAAAGCCGGCGAGACAACCTGCTCAGGAAGTCTCAGAGGATACTTTTTACAAAGCCAAAGAAGTAGTAGCCCACCCAGAGGATTCTTCCTTCCTTCCTTCCCCTCCCCCCCGTCTGTTCAAATTCTTCTTCCAGTTCAGCATCACCAGATGGCCCCTGCCCCTGGTTCTGTCTCCCCGTCCCCTTGGCCATGCCTGATTTTATACACCCCAGGCTCATCCCCACCCAGGTCCAAGCTAAAGAGGGCGTCCTTTTCTTGTGGGGAAATAGTTTGACCCCCCCCTGACCGTTTTGCCAGGCCTCTGCTGCACCTTTTCCTGCTCTATTATATCCTTTTTCAACGATGGCCACTGTATACAAAATTTCCCGTGTAAATGTGCTATGCATTACACTGGAATTTCCATCTAATTAAAAACTAGTATTAAGTATTTTGGAGTAAATTGATTGAGGAAGAGGTGACCTCTTAGGATGAAACTGTTTCTGAGCCAATTTCAAGCAAGGTTTTGTTCAGGGTGAAGTGATT